CGTGGCCTTCCCCGGCGTCGTACCGGTAAAGGATCCTGCACTAGGAGTAGAGCGTCAATAGGCGGCCTCTCCTAGGTCGTATAGATGCCAGTGCAGATGGAAAATCTCAGGCTCGAAGCTTCGACCCTCGTCTTGATACTGCTTAATTAGGTGGATACAGGTTTGCTCGATAGCCATTTGGTGACGAATATTAGTATATTGGCGCTTAACGGTGTCCTCAAAGCTCTCGAGCACCTTAAGAAGGTCATTTGTCGACGTATAAAGGTTTCTTTTAAGAAGCCAATGAGCTGCTTCAGCCCTTGATGTCGCCGTCTCACCTAGATGTAGGTAATGCGAGGTGTAGAGATGTAGAAACTGCTCGGGGCAGTCATCAAGCCATTCAGCCTGAATATAAGCTAGTATAGGCTGGAAAACTAGGTCTGCGTAGGACGCTTGGAACGAGCTCCAGCGTTGGTTTAATACGGCCTCTGAATCCGCATAAATTACCTGATTCCAGCGCTGAAGCATTGATTTCCACCCTTTATCGACTAGCTTTCGAAGCTCATCCTGAAGTCGCTCTTTAGTCATAGGCCTATCAGACCGTGTAGGATTATTAGGGTCGAGGTCGAGGTCAAGGCCCGCTGGTAAAAAAAATGCCAATTCTGCGCGCGATAGCAATCTGGTCTGATAGAAGAGGGCGAGGTTTTTTCAAGAGAATCATCTCGATATGCCATATACAGCTGATGGTCTTGGTGCTAGGAAAAACGACATTAATAGCACTAATAAGCTCTCGCTCTTTATCTGTCAATATCGTTCGAGGGGGCTGAAGACCAAGAGAGTCGTAGGCCTCTGCAAGATAACGAAGGACGACCTCGTAGGTGTCTTGCTTCTCATCTCTAATAAAAGCGAATGCGATAAAGCAGGTTTGGCCAGTAGAGGCTAAACCTACGATATCAAGCAGCGGAAGGCTATACCGATTGGTTTTATATGTGCAGTCCATCAATAGAACCCATGAATGACGCCTCAGCATCTCAATACATGTACGATGCATGCAGAAAAGCGTAGTGATGTGACCTTTATCGTCAAGCTTATGCTTGAATATCCATTCGCCGTCCTTTGGAAGCTCTATTAGAAGCGCTTGTATATGTGTTCGGCCAGCTAGAAACTCCTCACTAATCTTCTTTCGACAGTTGTAGATATCCTGGAATACTAGAATAGAGCGTGGGTCCTCTCGAATACTAGTCAGAATCTGTCGCGTAGTATAGCCTTGTGTAAGCTGATGGTCGATAGTTGATGCCTTTTGGGCGAGCTCAAGCCTGCGATGTACGGCATGGGTTGATGGCGCTGAGGGTCTATGGTTATGCGTAATAACCTCATCATGCTGAAGACGCCATGTGTTCGTATCATGCTGGAGCCGTAGCGATAGCCCAAACTGACATCCATTCCATGATCTGCGCGCTCATCCCTTTTGTCGTGGGAAGTAGTAAAGAGATTCCCATGCTTTATCTCTACTCCCCAGGAGTCCTTATGACTTTCCTCGCGGTTTTAATGCTCGTCACGACGATACCGTTCAAAATCCCTATTGGCATCAACTCCCACGCAAGAGGATCACAGCTGCGGCCATTCATATACTACGCGTGTGAAGATTTTGTTGCAGTCGATGGCTTACAAGATCGGGAATTCCGCGCGCGGTTTAATCATCGATACGAAACCTCAAGACCCTTTAGGCGCATGATGCTTCATTTGACGCTATGGTGGTTTCTTGGAGTTTGCATTTATCTGGGAAGTGTATCGGCTATAATATGGACACTCGATTTCCATATTGCGTTTGGTTTATCGCTCGGAACCCTCTTCGGATGGATTTTCATCTGGGCTACGTTGTCATATCTCTACTTTCAGTATAAGGTGGGCCGGCAGAGTCGAAATTGGGCGAACCCCTGTTCATAATGTTTGGCGAACATATTGAAGGTTTCAGAATTGTCTCAATCACCAGCGGTGTGGGTCACTGATGAGACTCCTCTATCTGGACAGCATTTTCCAGAATTGTATTACAATTCACGGGTTTATTTCAGGCAGGCAATTCATGGGAAACAGCAAAATCATAGGGTTGTCCTTGGACGGGCCTTGGCACGGCTTAACGTAATTCACATGCGAGCTGACCGCACAAGCGAGCTGACCGCTCACCCGCCCTCTTCTTATTTAATAGTATATTTATCAACCAAAACGCCTTGATATTAATTATTTTACCTAACTGGGCATCTAGGGGACTTATGCCCTATCTCGCCACATATAGAGCAGGTAAATCGACGCTTTTATAGGGGTGCTGCTGTAGTTTGAACCGGTTGAACTGAGTTATGCAGAATGGGCTGAACCAGAGAAATAGGCTGCTCAATACGCTGAGAGAGCTCTTGGGCCTCCTGGGCTGATAGGCCTACAGGATGTGCTTCTCGTCTCTGCGTACGTGCCCTTTTTTGCTTCTTTTTCTCGTTTTCTAAGCGTAAATCCTGGTTTTCCTTCGCGAGAATTATAAGCTCTTGACGGACGGTATGGAACCCTTTTTCTAGCTGGTCAATTGCTTGATATGCTCGAACTGATGGGCTTTGCGACCGTCGACGAAGAAAAGCTTTGATTGATGAAGCTTGACGACGTGCTTGAATGCTTGTTTTTGGTGTTTTTGGGCTAAAAGCGCTAGATCGACTGCTTGGTCGGCTCTGAGGGGGTGTAGGTGTACGAAGCTGAATATTTAGCTTTGATATCACTCGGTCGGCATCTAATGGCCCTAAACCAGCTGCTGCGAAGCTATTTTGAATCATGACTGATTTAAATGTTTCAACGCGCGCGAGGGGATATGCTTCGAGGAAATCAAGCTTATCGATATGGTTGATACCAAGACGCATCAGACACTCGACGATCGTACCGTACGCGCGTTTAAGCGATGCAAAACAACCAATATCAAGTGGTTGAAGTAAGTGTGATGAATGCGGCGGCATACAAATCGATATAATATTGTTTTGAGCACAGATTTCGTCAAATTGTGGAGTCAAATGACTACCGTGGCCGTCGAGGATAAGAAGCCGATATTTGCCTTTAATGCGATTATTTGTCGCTGGAATAAAGCACTTTTGTAGCCATCGAAGCCCAATTTCATCTGTCGTCCATCCATTTTGACTAACTTCAAAGCGCCAATCTCTCGGAAGGTCATTAGTCCAAGCTAGATTATGTAGTTTGGCTTTGAAGATAATCGTGGGCGGAAGCGCCCACCCAGAAGCGCTAATTGACTCGATTGTAATACCCACTCGCGATTTCCTGGCTGTAAAACTGATCGCCGACCGTAGTATTCTGCTCGGGTAATAACCTTTGCGGTCGCTGTAAGGCCCATCGCGAAGCAAGTCTCGTCAAAATTGTAGATATCCTCCGATAGGATACCATATTGCTGAATTGTAGTTTGTACACGATTAAACCACTCTTGAATAACCTTTCAATCCTCTTGTTTTGCTCGCTAATAGTCGTATCGACGTGAAAAACGAGTCTTTAGCTCTGGCTGTCTTTTGACATAGTTTGTGACCCTGTTTTCGCCGACCGTCTGGATTGGGGTTGAACCGCGCTTTGTAAGCAAAAGATTCGCCATTTCTCGCACCAGAGGGCCTAGGGGCTGTTCCCCGCGTATCCATTGATAATATCCACTTCTTAAGCGATTCCTCTTCAGTTTGGGTCAGTTTATGGTTGTTGGTGCGTCTTTCAGAGCGATTTTGGTGGCCATTGATACGGTCGGCGAGCGTAGAACGCGGAACGTTAAATCGGCGCGCTGCGTCTCGAATAGAGCTAATTTCTTCCTTTTTTAGAGCCTGTATAGCTAATAAAAGACGGCCCTCTTGTTCGATGGAATTACGGCTTGATTGAGCGCGTTTTGGAGGCATGGTGGTTGGTAGAAAATAGAAGAGACGCGTTGGGACGCGTAAATTTAGTTGGGTGGCCGGGTGGCTTGTGAATTACGTTATGTTGTGACTTTCGCTATGTAAGTACGTTACCCAATTAATTTCTTTACGACGGCCTTCATATGGCGAAACTAATTACAAGCTCCATAATACCGGTTGGAACGATGGCACGTGGGTGGGCCTCTAGTCAGACTAAGAGGTTCAAAAAAGTTGGCATAGCCGTGCCTTCTAGCGCCCCACTCCCTTCGGGTGTTCGTGCGCCGGGGCCCAACGTAACTTATTCCATCGATCTAACCCAATATAGCCTACTGTGTGTTGGGCACCTGGTCTTTCCGTTCGAGAGGTGATCGATTTTCACACCGAGTCGATCTCAGGAGCTATAAAGATTCTATTTGGCCGCAAAATGACGCAGGAGATATGAGACAGGGATGGTGTTCATGCCTCATTCAACCCTGTCTTCTTCCCCTGCAGATCGGCTTACGCGTATCTAGTTACGGAGTTAATAACACATCCGGCACGTCCAAAAAATGCATGCTGTCTGGCTTTGAAATCTCGATCTGCCAATAAGTGAGAACAGGTTGAACATGTATGTTAAAGGTCAATGCAAGGCAAACATTGGAAGCAAAATACTCGGTTGCCAATTATCGGAATAACTCCGAGTCATGCATGGATGGATTACTTCCCAAGGGCTTCAAGGTCATGAAAGCCTTGCGACTCTTAGATGAACTTCAGAACAACTATAGCTTGGCACTAGAATAAGGACAAAAGCTAGGCTTAGAACAAGGCAGATGAATGCAACCGTCGCGATGAGAATACGACGCATAGAATGAGTAGATCGGAAGGACATTGTGTTGACATGGTACAAATAGCAGGAAAAATATATATTAGATGACAGATGAGAAAAGAAGAACCACCAAAGAGCCAACCGAGAGACCGCGCGGGCTAGCTTCAAGGCCCACCCCCCTCCTACAAGTCATAAGAATGAAACAGTATTAAGACAGAGCTATAAGTCAGTTGAAAACGTATATTTTGTCATCATAGATCGCACATCAGTTAAGCCCGAGGAACGCGTAGGTCTAGTGGTTTTCAGACAGGGTCGTTCACAAAGCTGGGTTTCTGGCTGACTTGATACACCAGTTGCTCGGTCCAGAAATGGGAAAAGACGGCTTGGACGGCCGGAACAGGACCGAAAAGGGTTCCCGCCACAGGGAATATTAAGCGGTCGAGAAGAGGGCCACGGTCCCACCAGTTTCGGAAGGAAAAGCCCGCATCAAGGACTCCTGCTTCCATCATATCATCAGAGCGAGTTTTGACGCATAGATAGTGCCAGCGGTCGTAAACAACCATGCAAAGATTTATCATGATGAATGAGCTGACACGTAGCAGGCCCGTGAATCGGAACACCAAGTCGAGATCTGGATGTAGTAATTCCGGTGGCGTGAGTGCAGAATAGATAGATGATATAATCAGGACGAGTGTCAAATGGCACGGAAGGAAATGAGCTTCCCAGAGAAGGTGTGCCAGCGCCCATTGCTTCCCACTGAAGAGGATTCGCCAGTTAGGACGGGAAGCGGTACCAATACTCTTGCGGATGGCATATCCTGTATCGAGAGCACCCCACATATGACGCAGAGCCTGACGATAGCGGGCGGCAAGAACATCCATAGTCTGTCGCCAGCCACGATTGTTGCCGCCGGAGATATTGCACTGACTGGCCGCACTGGGCACCGCCCGCGTGGTGATGTTACCATTCATGGCGAAGTAGCACTTGAGCAGCATATGCATGTCCTCACCAATAGCGGCCGCATTGCTATCCCAGCCCCCAGCCTTCCGCGCCAGGGATACAGGTAAGGTATACACAGAAGTCGGAATGGAGATCGGGGATCCGGGGTACATCGCTGAGATACCGGCGAATCCCCACATCAAATCAGCACAGCGGACCAAAATTGGAGTTTCGGATGAGTTCCGATCGAATATGATGGGGCACGAATAGAAAGACCGCTCTGAGCTTGCGACATTATCGAAATGAAGCCGTCGAATCTCACTGAAATAGTCTTGCAATAGGTGGGTATCGGCTACCAGCGCATTCATCAGTACCCCTGAATTAGAACAGAAGGAGCGCATTCCCTTTCAACATACCATCAATTACCGTGATCAATGTATTCATCACGCCCTGATCGCCATCCCTTGCGTGTATGTTCATGATATGCCGAGCCGCATATGCAACGTTGGAACTTTTGCCGGCAATCTCCCCTGGTACTCCTGATGGATGAAAGGTGGCTCGGATATGAAGGAAGGCCATCTCAAAATTCGATATCAACTCGGCTGCCTTCCCAGTGGCTTCCGCCTCCTTTGATTCCATACCGAGATAGATCTAGATTGGTAGGGCCGGTCAATTTTTGGTTCTTTCGATTTCAAAGATTCAAGTCAAACTGACCTCATATTGGGTGAACGCTCGTGGGTGGCTGGCCAGCACAATAAGCGTGGTTCTCAGGGTATCGAAATCCTCCTTGTAGTTTGGAAGAATAATGGCGTGGATGACCTCCTCACCACCGGAAAATGACTACGATTCGGTTGCGAAGGATTTCACATCGAGAACATCTAGCGAAAGACCCGGCTGACGTTCGCCTTCCGAGTAGTGCTCCACGTCACGAGACCGTTTTGGTTTAGCTTGCAAGCGCCGCTGCGGCGTCTTCTTTGATTCTCTCAGCGTCTTCACCAACGCCAAAAAGAGGCGCAGGGCGAAATTACACAGGGATGCCAGAGGGCTTCACCGTCCCAGGGAAGTGCTGGAAGCTAGTGCGAGCATTGTATAGGCTAAGAATCTCACCGCGCCTGTGGCAGCAGGAAGCGGCGGCAGTACTCAGCAAGCTCGGGCTACAGCCTGTCCCTGAGGACCCCTGTGTCTTCGTGGGCGAAGGAATCATCGTTTTCTTCTATGTGGATGATATCCTGATAGCAAGCCATTGGACTGCGAGAGAGCGGGCCCGGCAGCTAGAACGGGATCTCGAGGCACACTGGGAGCTCACTGATCATGGAGAAGCCGCATGGTTTCTAAATATACGCATCCTACGAGACCGTCAGCTCAAGAAGCTCTGGTTGTGTCAGGATAGCTATGTTACCAGTGTCGCAGCGCGGTATAACCTGACGGATAGACCGTCCGTGTACACGCCGCTGCCGGTTGAGGCATTGAAGCCTTATGAGGGCACCGCAAGCCCGCGAGACGTTCATCTTTACCAACAGAAGGTTGGTTCAGCTGGATATGCTACGACCATCACCAGACCGGATGCCGCAAAGGCGACGGCGCATCTAGCACAGTTCCTGACCAATCCGGGACCCCAGCACCATCAGGCGATCGACCGAGTGATCACCTACCTCTACACGACTAGGTATTACGCCATTGAGTACAGTGCAGAGAGTGGGATGGAGTCTGTGCAGCTATCGAGCGACGCTTCCTATGCAGACCATGCAGATAGGAAGAGCTCAGCAGGATTCATCTGTCAGGTCTATGGGGGTCCAGTGGATTGGAAAGCCACTAAACAGCGCACCGTGACCACATCGACCACCGAGGCAGAGCTGCTAGGGCTATCTGACGCCGGCAAGAACCTCCAGTGGTGGAAGCGGCTGCTAGACCGCATTGGCTTTGCTCCCTCTCATGTTATAACCATTGAGTGCGACAACGAGCGAGCGATGGGGCTGCTAACGAAGGACGACGTCGTGTTCGATACGAAGCTGCGGCATGTGGATATTCATCAGCATTGGCTGCGCCAGGAGGTCAGAGAGGGCCGTATAAACATCCGCTGGGTGCCCACGGCTAGGATGGTCGCGGACGGGCTTACCAAGCTGCTTCCTCGCCAGAAGCATGAGAATTTCCTCAGATTGCTTCGAATGGTGGATATAGGTCACATGATCGACTAGGCCCAAAGAGGAAACAGAGGCTGATTCGTAAAGTCATCGTTTTCAGCGATTTCAGGCCTACTGACATCGCTCAGGGGTGTGTCGGAACGAACAGCCTATGGAGACCGGATTATTGGATGATCCGATGTAATTATTTCTTATGTAATCAGAAACCCCCATAAATTGCCAGATTCAGAGGTATACAGTGACACAGCAAAAGTATTAACACCCCCCTAGACCCACCCCCCCCTTATTACCTAATATTCTGCCGGCCTAAAACTCCATGAATTTCTATCTAGTAGGGCGTATACCAGCCCTGGCTCTCAATAATAGCTTCCACCCGGTGCGGCATCGTCTCAGATAGATGCGTTAGGTGCTGTATTTCTAGTTCTTCCCATGCTATCTGTGCTGTCTCCACTAGAATAGCGTAGGACGCGCTATTATTACGCATATCAATAAGATCCGGCCATAACTCATAGATTTTAGCCTTCAAGAGCGCCCATAGGTTCTCAATAGGGTTTAAATCAGGCGAATGAGGCGGCCATTCCATTACCTCAATTCCTAGCTCGCGTAGAGTATCGCGGACAACGTGTGCAGTATGTGTAGGCGCATTATCATGCTGAAAGATACCACCCTCATGATTCATTAATGTAGGCAGCATTCGGAGATATAAATCTCGAATAATAAAGCGATCAACGCCTCCGCGAGGTGCTTCAGGGTTTCCAAATAGAGGGATAAGGCCAGTGCGTCGTGTGCTGCCAGAAAAAGCCCCCCAAAACATCTGCTTAACTTGGTTTCCTTTTATAGGAAGACCTTGACATTGTCTCTCCTTAGGCTGATCTCGAGGGCGAATAAAAGTCCATTCACGACGAACACCAATACCGCGCTCAATTGTACATTCGTCAGACCAATAGACACGAGCCTAATCTTCAGCAATAAAGTGTCGATAGCGATGCGCCCATTGAAGCCGTTTTAGCGCATTTTGTTCGGTCAAATAGGGCCGCCAGCTACAGCGCCACTTTCGTATATTCTCGGCGTTTAAAAGGCGTCGGATCGAGTCATAACCAAAAATTTAGGTCAGTAAGCATTTAAAACTAAAGGAATATAGCTAACCTTATTCGACACATTTGCAAGCAAATCAACGCGGGTAATCTTAGGATTTTCCTCAATAGCGTTTAACAAACGCTCACGATCAGCTTCATCAAGCTTCCGTGGGCGTCCAGAGCGTGGTTTAGAGACACCATCGAGTCGTTCGCGGTCCTTTTTAATAGTATAGCGTATACTAGAAAGAGAGACCCAAGGATAGCGCTTTTGAATACGTTTATAGCCCCATCCCGCAGCTTGGGACAGCTCACATATACGCTCACGTAGCGCAGGTGTCAATTCAGACCGCGGTGCCATAATAGATAGCAAAATAAGGAGATTCAGGAGGTATAAACAGAATAACGCGCAAAAACGCGAGATTATTGAGCTACTACTAGCGTGTTCCTAGGTAGGCGGTGAGAGGGCGGTGTAGGCGTGGGTCCAGGGGGGTGTTAATACTTTTGCTGTGTCACTGTAGCAATACAGAGTTCTTTTTACCGCTGATTGGCCCTTATATTACGTGCTCTGACAATAATTACTTCGGATCATCCAATAATCCGGTCTCCATAGGCTGTTCGTTCCGACACATACAAAAACATAGGAAATATGATGTCCAATGCGACCACTGATTAGCGGTAAATTATCCCTCCACGGGCTGACAGTAGGCAAGGGGTGTGTCGGGAGTAGTCGTCTCCTATATATATAGCTTCGTGTTTCCCCCTGAATAAACACAAGAGATACCTCTGAGCTACAACAAAATCTGGCACCCGAGACCTCTTTCAACCCTACCCCTACCCGAAATGCCTGCTCAATGGATTCACCGCTTCTATCCATAATCTCTTTGGGAGTACGAGAGGATGGAATGTGGTTCCAGTTGATGCCGCACACGGTCTACACGGCCGCATTCGGTCGGTTCATCCGCATGGTTTCGGACATACAAACTTGTACCATGAAACCTGTTATGCGGCACACGAAACAGGCATGCCCGTGACATAGACTCAATACATCGAATATAGGGCACATATAGGAAGCTTAATTCGTTGCCAGGCATCGCCCATCGTGTGCCCCTCCTTTGGATTTCTCTTCGCTGCAACCGCCGTTCGTTGATGGATGTATCGATGGCAGCGATGCTGTTGATAGACGTTGTGAAAGGGAGAAAATGAAAATATAAGAATGGAACATAGAGTGCCTATGATCGAAGCCGGCATGAATCGACGTGGCTGTTGGCAAGTCTGACAGTCACCAACTGAGAAAGCCGTGAAAGTCGAACTGCGCGTTTCGCCCGATTCACCTACGACTTGGATATCTCACGAATATAAATATAGGAATTGATACTATCAAACCCCCCTTGCCGCCCTTAACCTTCAACCAAATACTCGACCCTGTCGAGCCAGCGCCACCTTCGGCAGCATTTCATTCGCAAGATTATTGACATGTGGACCCTGGGTGGCGAAAATCATATTAAAAGCTTCTATGAGCGTATGGGCATAAGCGGACTTGAAGGCAGTGGGTAATACCAGCGCAAAGGGAGGGTTGCATGCTAATTTTCGCGCAGACTGTTGCGCCGGGATTGTTGAGCGTGGATCCTGCTTCGGCTAATTTTACCCGAAACCGGCGATGTCTACTGTGACTGAAGTGTTCGGGTGTTCGGCGCTTCTGGCCAGGCCCAAACCATAACACCCCCAGAAGCTCGGCAAATGCTTGGAAGGGTACTGGGTTTGCTTGCGTTGATATGACGCAGAGCGCCGTTGTCGCTGTCTAAGCCCGTGGAAAGTTGTGGCCGTTGCTTCTACTAACCTGCAGATTACCCATAATACAAGCAACCCATCATTGTTTACCACTATGGGATGCATGGCGTTTATTCTGCTCGCTTTGCGCAGCTTTTTCTTGAAGCACTTTCGCGCGCTGACCCGTAGGAGCCCTCGTACACTACTACCCACCTTCGGCGAGAATCAGCTTTTCGTTAACCTCCCCGCTGGGCGACGTGTGTGTCGGAGGTTAGCGACAGGTATCATAATCGCAGTCATACTATTGTTCTGGGTTATACATGGAACTCGCCGAATGGTAGTGGCCATGGAAACTCTCTCTCCGCATTGGTTAAAGTATCCAATGTAAGTAATTGCATCTCGCAGCGAGCGGGAGTGCCACTGACATAGAATATACAGACTGGACGGATATTCGCATGGACTCGAGTCAATTGTGATATGTTCAAACTATTCCCCGGAATATCCTAACGCCAAAAATGCAATCTTAACGAATTCGGCTCCACCGACAGCGTCTGATCCCTTGAGCCCGCCCCAGTTGATCCAATTCCGACCTTATCTTGGCCAGACAGAAGAAACAGGTAGTAAACACGAATTGTTAGAACTCTGCTATCTTGAC